TGAGTTCGAGGCCAGCCTGGTCTCCAGAGCGAGTGTCAGGATGGGCTCCAAAGCTACACAGAGAAACCCTGTCTCGAAAAACCAGAGAGAGAGGTTGAGAGAAGAGGAGAGGAGAGGAGAGAAGAGAAGAACAGGAAAGAAAAGAAAGAGAAGGAAATCAAGGGAGGGTTCCTAGGGGCTGTAACTTCAGGAGTTCAAAGTCATCTTGCATGTGGTCATTCTGAAGACAGCCTAGGATGCACAAGACTTTGTCCCCAAATAAAAACAAAAAGGGCTGGATAGATGGCTCACGGATGGTGCACACATGCTCTTCCCAGCACCCATGTCAGGTGGTTCACAACTGCCTGTAACTGCAGCTCCAGGAGCCCCAATAGTCTTCTGTGCACACATGCAAGTAATTTAAAAAAAATTAAAAAAAATATTTCAGAAAGATAAAACACAAATAAAATGTGAAAAGCCAATGGAGCAAGCTGAGCATAATGGTTGCACCTTTGTCTCAACACTTGGGAGGCTAAGTTAGCAGGTGGAATGCTGGGACCAGCCTGGGCTACACAGTGAGTCTGAGGTCAGCCTGGGAAACAGAATGATAGCCTGTTTTAAAAAAACAAAACAAAAAGTCAGCGGAACAATCAATCTCTCTGTGCACTGTCTCAAAAGTTCTAGGAAAATACATTCTAGGTCTTTGTCACTGAAAAAAAAAAAAAACCCTCTTGTTTTTCACGGTTGAAATCTCTGGCTCTACGGCACGTCATTTCCTGTCTCCCTCTCATAGATAAATACTGCATCTCAACAGTCATAATGGGCACCTATTCAGAAATTAATTAATGGTCATCCAAAAATGTTCCCTAGTTACAATCAGGTGCTTAGCTTACAGCAATCAGCCCTTGAACGCCACACGGCTCTGAAGTTCCTGGTCCCCTCTGATTACCACTATTACAGAAATCTCCATTCGGAAATCAGCAAATCCTTACCTGTTCGGTTTTTAAAAGACAGTGCTCACTACACTGGTATCTCTCAGTTGGTCCCTCACACTATCTCATCCCCCACACCACCGTAGCTACGAATGCTTTCATTCGTTCTACTCAGCCTCGGCACCATGCCTCATGCCAGTCTCTCCTTGTATTTTTATCATCACCTAATGGTTACACACGGCGTACCCACACCCACTCACTTGGTTCTCAACCTCCAAGTGGAATACTCCAAATACCCTTGGCCTGAAGTCCCCGCCTGCACTGTCCCCCGAAAGATAGTTTTATTCTATCACTCCCCAGCACCCAGCATCCTATCCAGTCACCAGCTGTGTGCTGCACAGCCTTGCCACATCTGGCACATGGGTTAGCTGTAACTGGCTACTCACACACTTCTTCAGATCCCCAAGACCAGCTCACACCCTCCCAGTTGGGGCTGAGCTCCCTGCAGGCTTCTGCCCGGTTTCCTGGGATGCTGAGGATTTGCCACCTCATCTCCTTCCTCCATAGCTGACATGAGACTGCCCTTACACCCTCTTTAGATGTATTGAAATGGTCATCGCCAGCACCCAAAACATGGTTAGTTTAAAGACGGCCGAGCTGGGCGTTTAGAATATATGCACTGAATTCAAAGACAGTAAGAAAAGAAGATACAAAATATGCCATTCAAATATTTAATGGATTAATACTGAAATGATATTTTGGATGTATTTGATTGAATAAGATTGTTACTCATTGCACTAGCTTCTTTTGTCTTTTTAATGTGGCTAGTGAAAGCCTCTAAATCACAGATATCAATAGGTGGTTTGCTTGATATCTCTAGTGCTCAGCTGTCACTTCTTTGGGTTCTTTTGTTGGTGTGTACATGTGTGTGCATGCACATGTGTTCGAGTATGCAAGATCTTGAGTGTGTGCGTGCACACGTATGCAAGTGTGCAAGAGCCTGAGTGTGTGCATGCCCTTGTGTGTGGAGAACCCAACATCTCACCCATGTTGGGCAAGCACTCTACCACCCACCCCATTGACCCATATTTAATCCTTCCTGCGCGTTCAAAATTCTCTCCTCTGTGTCTCTCCTATAAAAAGGCTGCCCCGTTAGCCCCACTCTCCCCACACTGCAAACCTAGAACTCTTCAGTCTCTCATTCTCAGTGCTTTTTCTATCCATCATTTCTTCACATAGTCCTTTTGGTTTTTCATTTGCTAACATAACTTTTACCTCTACCTACACTCTCTGGGTTTTTTCTTCCTCAATTCTCATATAGAGTGACTTGACATCTTTCTTAATTCTTAACCAAGTGAAAAACTCTCCTGTAATTTCACAAAGTATAGAGCCTTTTCATTCTCCAAATTGGCCTGTCTTCACTAGAAGTTTTCTTCTTTTCTTTTCTTTTCTTTTCTTTTTAAGATAGGGCTTCAAGTAACCCAGGGTGTCCCCTGATATAGTATATATAGCTGTGGTTGGCTCTGAACTCCTCTTCTGCCAGCCTAGTGGTAGGTGCCACCACACCCAGCCATTCTATAAGGTCATTTACAGGGGCCAGCAATGACACATTAAATATTCAACAAGTGTTAATGAGCAACAACTTTAGCCCAAAGCCCTCCACCCACCCCGCCAGGAAAGCAGCACCCCCTCTGTCATTTTAAAGACCGTATTCCTTTCCAGACTCTCTCTGTGGGGTTCCTGTTTCATGCACAGCGGGGAACTCTCTTACCCCATCCCAAATACTCCGTGGCAGTCCTGCAACAGCAGGTTCTACTTCCTGTCAGCCTCAGTGGCCATGTGCTCTCATTCCCTGGATGGAATTTATGCCTATCATTGTGGTGACTGCATTTTTTTTTTCTTTCCATGGCCACGGCAAGGAAAACTCACACCTGGAAAGGTGGGTGAGTGGTTGTTGGCAAAGGGCTGGGACAGCTGTGCTGAGTCCCTCTGAAGCCTGACTTCCTTCCTGCTCTTCCAGCACCCATGGTGACACGGCCACAGATCTTCCCAGGCTGGGGCATGACCTTCAGAACAGAAACTGTCAACACCCTCCCCTTGGAGGTCTCCTTCCCATTATATTGCCAACAAAGCCCCTTCCTTGTGCTCAGCAGCAGTGCACACGGCTCCTTTCCTTGTGGATTACATTTTTCCCAGATCAAGAAATCTGTTCTTCCTCCCTGTCTGTGTCACCAGCCTGCCATCGCCCTAAGTCCCCAAACCCTGTCTAAAGAATACCACTCCTGGTGCCAAAACTCTCCTCTCAGCATGCCCGGTATTTTTATTCCGCTCTCTCCCAGCCCTCCTGTGACAGAACTCTTCCTTGCACACTTTTTCAGTGAAGCTGCTTACTTTCATTCAGCCCAGCCCAGAGTTCCTGTTCGCAAGACAGCCCGTTCCCTAGTCACAATCTCCAGTCAGTGTCTGTTGTCAACACCCCCCCCCCAAGCGCTTTTTCCTTAATCCTTTCCTCTCAGTAGTTCTCTTCTGTGCTTTCCTTCTATTGATATATCCAGTTTAATAGCCAATACTGGGTTTATTTCAGAAAAGAACCCCCACTATACATTAGAGTGGAGAGAAGGGCAGGGGACCCTGGCAGTGTGTGGATGAGCTGTTCTCCGATGGCAAGGGCACCGCCTCAGTTCTGTTACACATGTGGGTCCCCTCCCACCTTCCCTCCAGCTTAAGGCTTTCTTATGCCTGCCTGGCTCTGCCTCCAGGCCCTGTGGCCTCCACAGCACCCTTTCAGGAGCCAGCCCTGATCGTTCCTGCTTCTGAACCACCCCAATCCTTCCTTCTTAGGAGCCTTCTGCTGGTTTCCATCCTCTCTCTGCTCTGCCCGGTCCTCTTGGCCTGAAGACATTGTCTCCTATCTCCAGGTGTTTCCCTTCTGCTTAGGGTCGAAGGAGCAGCTGCTCTGACTTCAGATCCTCATGGGCCAACCAGTTCGGAAAAGGAATTAACAACAGATGAATCCCCACAGCCAAAATGCCCAGAACCAAATCCAACCTGAAGACAGGCTTCTTGACAGCCCCCATCATCCGAGACAGTGAACAGCCCCTTGGGCAGTTCCACAGCAGAAACCTGCCGCCAGGAATTGCCTGCCTGCCCTGGCCAACGACTCTTGGACCCTCTTCTTGCCCCAGCTATGGTCAGCTTCCAGACCCTTCGGGTCATTTCCATTGGCTAAGCTAGGTGCCATGAACTGTGGAGCAGAAGTGGGCTCACCCTAGCGTGAAGGAAGTTTAAGCTCTCTAACCTTGCACAGGCTATTTTCCTTGATTAGAACTCACCAGATTGCATAAGCTTCGCTCTCAGCTCACCTTGCTCTGTCTGGATAGGAGAAAGCTTTTTGGCTTTAGGATACTAAGGACAGGACAAGAGGACTTCGAGGGAATGGATTCTGACCAGGGTTCGTTTACTACCACCTGTCTCCGTGGCGACCGCACCTTCCCAGGGCGCTTGAATGACCTGTCAGCTGAATCTTATCAGGATCCTCAACTCATCATCTTTATGCCACACCCAACTCTGCCAGCCTTTAGCATCTCTAGTCCCTTCCTGCCACGGTCCAGCGCCCTACCTGGTTCTCCAATGATTAGGTCTAAACCAGAATTCAAAAGTGACCTCTGCTAATGTGAAGGCGCAGGCTTATCAGACCCTCCTTCTGCCTTGCATCCACAAAGCCCATGCCCACCATCTGAGTGCTGAGAGGTCGATGCAGAATGCACCCCCACATTCTAAACTGACAGCTGACCCAAAATTCTGTCACTGTGGGATCCTGCTGGGACCCTCAGGAATCCCATCCTTGAGAAGAGAAAAACGAAGGGAATCTGAAAAAGAGACAGGGCGAGGCTTGTG